AAGTAAGAATTTTGTTAAGTTCACTGTTCTATGTTCCAGTAGCTTCTATGGTTAATAGTGGTAGACATATTGTAGCAGATATTTTGGGTAACTGAAAGAAATGCAATAATATGCACAAGGTATTTTTTAAAAAACAGAGATGAGATGCTTCTAATAGCCTAGAGAGGCAGGAAGGAGTAAGGGAAGGGAAGCTGCCTTGAGGAAAGCTAATATGGATTAAGTACTAAACATATGCCAGAAACAGTTCTGAGCCATTTTCAATGTATTACCTATTCTAAACGCACAGCAATCCTACAAGAAGCCAAATGAGGAAATGGACAAGGAAGGCTGACGTGCTCAAGAGCACAGCGAATGGTGGATCAGGATTTGAGCAGAGCGAACTTCAGAACCTTTGCTCCTAAGCATGATTAAGTTCTATCAAGAGATAAGTAAGAATTGGCCAGATAAAGGGCGGGGTTGCCCTTGAAGGGAAGGCACTCCAGATAGAGGGAATTACCCAAGCACAGCCAACACAGCCTGGCTCATTTCAGGAACTGTAACGCTTACCAATACTACTGCAGCATGAAGAGGGACACCGATGAAAGACGATATTAGAGAAGTAATCATGGCCAGATGACAAGAGGTATAGGCAGCAGTGCCTCCCTTATCCAAAATTAACAGGGAACAAGCATAAAGCTTAGAATCAAGTAACTCTGGGTTGGAAACGCAACCCCACCATTTTGTTAATGGATCTCTCTGAGCCCCCATTTCTGCATCTGTAAAACAAAGAACATAGGAATACCCACTTTATAAAGCAGCTACTGGAACACAAGGTAACAGATACTAACACTCTGTGTCCAGTCAGTGTGCGTGATTTATCTCTATTTGTGGTTATTACTAACATTTTTTCACTTTTCTAAATGCACAACATAACTAAAGCTTATTTTCTTAAGTGCCAAACATATTAAGCCACCTTTTTCCTAAGCTACTTTTTAAGGTGAATTCCACGAATCCCTCCTGTCCCCAGGGCCCTTCTGCTGCCCTCAGGGTCCAGAAATCCCTGGAGCTGCCAGTGTCCATAGATTTCAAAGACAGGGACAGAAGAGAAGCCACACAACACTGAAATGTTCAGAGCAGTGTTTCGCTGAGAATTTGGGAAAGGCAAGAAGAATATGACTGCTTAGAGTAAAGGTTACCACCCAGTGAGTACACAGATTCTCAAAGCACCTTGGTGCAGCAGCACCTCTCCCCAAATCCACCAGGAACAGGGGTGTGCCATCTGGGCCGGCAGCTGATACGCAGCCAGTGCCCTTGCGTGCTTGGGATTTATTCCCTTCTCGTGACCTGCACCACAAGCCCGTTCAGAGACTGCGACCTGGCTTCCACCTATCCTCCCCGCCTCCTTTTCTGCTCTGTTCTCCATGGGTGTACTAACAACTTCCCCTTCAGGAAGCACACCAGGCAATCGCACACTTCCCCGCTTGGCCCAGGTACTGTTCTCTCTGCCGGGAACAACCTTCTGCCCTCACCTCTTATGACCACCCCACCTTATCCTTCAAGGCTTAGTACAAACACGGCCCCCTCTGATTTCCCTCTTCTGGTAAAATTAAATGCCCTGTTCTGAGGACCTCCCCAGCCCTTTGCCTGTATTTCTATAGTCATAACGACCGTGTACATAGCAAACATCATTCTAGGTGCTTTCCGTATGCTATCAGGTAAGTTTCACTACATGCTTGTAAGAAATTATTACAAACCCCATTTCATAAATGGGGGTATGGAAGCTCTGAGAACTGAATTTATCAGTCATCACACATGTAGAAAGGGATATAGGCAGAATTTCAACCATGTTCTGACAGTTCCCAAATCCTAGTAAGTTTTTCATTCTGCTCTGTCGCCTCTCTGACGGCCAGTTGGTTAGCTAGCTGTATACACAGATGCCTAACCCGTGGGATTGCAGCAAACTCACGGATAGCAGGGTCTGGGCATGCTCATCCTTATAAATGTGGATAATAATGCATCCATTCATACAAGGTTCTTAGGAAGATTAAATGAGACATCACATTAAAGCACTTAGCATGAGGCCATGCTGATAAGTACCTGATAATTTGCAGGTTTTGTTGTTATTGTTATGTTATTAGCATGTCAGGTTCATGAATAAAGCCTTGCACATAAGTTTTGAGCTGAAGTTTATTTCTGAAAAGCAAATGAAATGCCAACCCTGCACAGCAGATGATGCTATAAGACCTGATAAAAGAAACAAATGCCATTTGGGTTTGGTTAATTCCCCACACTACTTGACTATTCAGTCAGAGGCAATGAGAGTTACGTGCAAACTTTAAGTTTCTGTGACAGAGTCAACCGACTTCTTTATCTTTCTATTGTCATGTGGATCTCAGGAAAGTTTCCTGTTTAGTTCAAAACTCTTGCAGTTTTGTTCCATTCTTGCTGCCTTCTCCTAGGTGATGTGTCATGACTTCCCTCTGAGAAGTCAGTACTTAACCAGTTCTGAGCTAGGAGAAGAAAAATCACAAGAATAAATGGAAGCACAAGAGAGCAAAATGGAATCTGAAATTCTGGTGCAACACTCTTTTTTGTCCTCATAGCATTTAAATCATCCCATCTCTTTACTTGGTTGTTTTTGCCAGTCACCCACTAGGTGTCACAGAGCTATCTGTCCGTCCTGTGCATTTCCTAACTCACCAGCTGGTGCAGAGATGTTACTCATTAAACACTGGTCGATTGACTGATTGTAATTATTAACTTATGTATGTATATATGGATGTATTCATGGCACCATTCCATGGTTTACAAGTAAACGTGCCTATATCCCACACACAAGCCCATACTGTACATTTGTGAACATACATTTGTATTTGTGCAGAAAATATTCCAGACTGGGAAGCACAGATACCTGTTTCCCAAAGTTGTATCTCCTTAACATAACAAATGCTTCTGGCTGACTGTCTAACATTTGACAAACATACACAACTGTCCACATACAAACAATCCAGATATTTAAAAAACAGTGCATTTTATTAAACATGCAGACTAAAAAATTTTCACTTAACACACCTTGATATTTTACTATCTTTTAAAACTCCCCATCCCTTCTTATTAGCTTCCGAGTAAAGGGGGTGGTGGGGAGAGGAAAGATAGGCAGAATATGGACCACTAATGTTTCTCTGCAAATGTGGCAGGAAAAATGCTCCAAATTCCAATGGGCTGGCCGGCTGTCCTTACTTAAAGTGTAACATCTACAGAACATTATAATTTATAACACCATAATTGGGTAAATGTGCCAGACACTTGGCATCAGTTTTTTATTTAGACCTTATACCAACCCTGCATGGCAGACGATATTATCCCTGTTGATAAATAAGGAAACAAAGACTCAAAGAGCTGGACTAACTTGCCAGAGATACTCTGCTGCTTATCTAGTCATGGGACAGTCAGCCTAAAGCTGCAGGAGTCTACTTCCAAGCCCAAACTCTTTTTAATGAGCAACGGTGCCTCTTACACAGTTTCATAGATGCTAATATTGAGGGATATATATTTAGGCACTTTTTACAATGTATGGCTTTCAATAAGTAATTCTGCACACGGACACTCAGACCAAATGACAGCGAAAGCCACTGAAGATTACCCCAGGCTATAGACAGCAAGGGGTAAATGTGTCTCAGAAACCATCAGCCTGTGTTTATCAAAATACGAGACATTTTCCACTTGATTATGTCCTCCAAAAGGAATCTCTTCTCAAACAGAACTTCATTATTCCGACTCCTATACCAAAAAAAAAAAAAATGGACTCTTTCATTGCAACCCAATGGGAAGTTCTTAATTCATTTCCTTACGTTACTTGAAATGAAAGTGCTTTCTGTCTTTAGGGGAGAGGATTATTACTGGATGCTAATGTCTTCTGGGTGCTTTTGAGTCCAACAATCAATACCACGAAGGCAAGAGAGAATTAGTCCTTATGTACTTTAAAGGGGAATATGGTTACTTTTAACCTTAATGATAGCAGAGTTCTAAGAAGAGAGAGAAGGAAAGTCTTCCCTCCCAGTTTAAAGAATTCAGTGGCCTTCCCCTTCAAGAACTGGCTATTATCTCTCCGACCTTCTTTCCAGGAGCAGGTTTGACAGGAGAAAGGAAACCATGTATTTCAAAAGGTTTTTGTTTTTAATGCAAAGGTGTTTCTGAACATTTGTAACTACAGTTAAGAAAAATGTTTACGTTGCCCCTTGCGACCCAGACACTGCTTGGAAAGCTCCGATGCAGAGCAAAGGAAAGGCCTACCCACCCACCTCCAGCCCACTGCACTCTCAGGAAAAGCCAACGGAAGGGCATCTTCATCCAGGCACTGCAGGTGAGAGGGGCACCTGGCAGTGATGGCGGCACTGGGGTGTCCCTTCCTCATGTCCAGAGAAGTGGAGAGCAAGGGGAAGCAGCTCCTGCCTTCCTCTGAACCGAACTACACAACCCCTACTGCCAAGAACATATTTTTAGACACTTAAACTGCAATTCCCAGACAGGAAGGCAAACTACAACCTCTGAGGCATCCTCAGAGTTCAGATCTCCAACCTGGTTTCAGGTTTTTGTTTCGCCTTCTGATTTCAAGTCATTTCCTAAAGTACATCTCCCATCCTCCAGAAGGCAGCCACAGTCTAAGCCAAGCAAAAGACCCGGGAACTTTAGAGCTTTACGGAAGGAAAATCCCACATTCCAAAGGTACATGACCTTGGGGAAGTAACTCCTCTTTCTGGAGACTGGGTTTGTGGGTAGAAGATGGGAATCTAAGAATGGCTGTTACCAGAGAATTGTTGAAACTTCAATAAAAATCACACAGGAGTCGGATCTCAGGAGGGCATCGGTAAGCGCCCTGGGTCTGTTCGGGACACTTTGCACAAAGCAGAGGGATCCTGGCTGGGTTTCCCTGTTCTCACCGCCCAGGACTTGCCCATCACTCCCTCATTAGTGAGTCATGTTACGAGCCATTCACCTAATCTCAGGAAGACACCTCTCACCTGCTTCTCGTTCTCTACAGCTTCAAAGGTCTGTAAAGCCCAAGGGTCAAAGTTGGCCTGGGTTCTCCTTCCCACCGGTTATCCGCAAACCTTTGAATGCAATTCAAGCTTGGGAAGAAATATATACAGGCTTCACACGGGCAAAGCAGCTGTCTGCCCGCGTCTCGGGGTAAGGGATGGAGAAGGCACCTGCCTGAAGTCTCCGTTCGGAAATGACACGGAAAGAGTAGGACAAGAAGGACGGGAGGGGAGGGACGCCTCCGCGAGGCGGTGCTCGCCGGTGACCCTGTCCTCCAGGCACCGCGAGTAAAGGACGCGATGGGGAGGAGCCGCGAGGGCAGAAGTACCTGAAGACTCTGGCCGCCGTCTGGTTCCTCCTCCACGCCGTGCCCTGTTGCAACACCCCCTGCACGATCTCCTTCTCGTTGGGCAGCCGGTACACTGGGAAGATGTAGAGCCAACAGAGGACCACGACGCAGAGCGCGCTGGCTCCCACCGGCAGCCGGATCCGCGGGAGCGTCCACGCCAGGACTGCCATGGCCCCTCTGGACGTGTGTCTCCGGGCCCGCCCGCAGGGGTTCATCTCAGCCCCGGGGTCCGGGGGGCGAGGGCCGGGGCCTCAGCACAGCGCTAGGGCGAAGTGGCAGCGGAGGGTGCCCCCGCGCCTGCCCCCAATGCACATGCACCTTTCGCTTTCTTTCTTCCACTCGCACGCACGCTTCTTCGGCCTCTAGGGCCCCAAAGGTCAGCGCAAGGATTTTTTCTTTTTAAATGCAACTTTTCCAAGGATTTCTTTCTAGGGGAAGTGGCCGGAGAGCAAGTCACGAGCTATGGCCAGAGTCGCTTCCCCTGCAGAAGGCGGGCGCCGGGACCTCCGAGAGCGCGGAGCGCGGCGGCGGCGAGTAGCTCCCGCCGGCTCTGCGGCATCACGGCCGCCCGCGGCGCGGGTCCGGGCACAGGCTCGGCGCCCTCCCAGACATCTGGCCGCGGCGTCCCCTCCGAGAAGAGCTCCTGCGCCCTCCGCCGCTCTCCCCGCCTCCCGCGCCGCGGCGCCGCCAGGCACCCCCAGACGCGCGCCCCGCGCCGCGCCGCGCCAAGTCCTTGGAAATTTCCACGGCGGCCCGGGACCGCTACCCTGCGCCGGGCTTCTCCGCCTCGGCCGCCGGGGCCCGCGCTCCCCACCCCTCCCGGCGAAGAAAAGAACTCGCTCTCATCAGTTAATCTGCGGCGCGCCGCAGCCTTCCGCTGCGCCCCGGACTTCGCAGGCAAACGCCCGGGGATTGGTGGAAATCAAGGTTTCCCCCGCCTCCCCCACTCGCAAAACTGCCTCCTTCGACCCGTTCCGATCCGCGACGCTCGGCTGGAGCGCGCGCCCCTCTCCCGCCCTTGTTCCCTGGGGATGGAGGCAAGCAATAAAAATACCAGCCCCTGCATATATATACCCCTGAGTGCGGCAGACACCGGCCAATACCCCGAGCCTGCCGCACGCAGCCCCCGCGCTGGGGCTGTCACCCCGCTGCCGCCACCCTCGTCTCTCTCTGAGGGCTGGTGATCAACCCGCAGCGAGGCGCGGAGAGGCCGGCGGGGACGCGTCCCCGGGCCCCCACCCCCATTAGCCGATCCCGGAGGCGACCCCGTGAGCGCGCGCGCACACTCCCTCTCCGAGGCTGGCGGGGCCCGCCGCGCGCGCCCGAGGAGGTGCGTGCACACCGGGGTCCTCCGCCTGGCCGCCGCCCTGCAGGGAGAGGCGCTGCTGCATCCAGATGTGCGGGCAGCCGGGGAGGCCCGAGAACGCACACCTAGGACGTGAGAGTGCCTTTCGCCTCTTCTGCCTTTAAGCTCACAGGGCTGTCTGTTCTTAGACGTCCTTCTCGCTCCACCCGCAAGATGATCGCAACCCTGGCATCGGAAAAGCGCCACCACCACCCACCCCCGGGCCCGCGCAGCGGAGGGATCCCCCCACAGTTAGCCATTTCTGCCCGCCCTGGCGGCCGTCGCACAGCTCGGGTACCTCCTAGCGGTTGCCTATTCCATTTGCCTAAGCATTTCGTCAAGCATAAAGTGTGCAGGGACAAAGAAATCGGCAGCCTGCTAACAGGGTCAGCTTAGTCATCACGAAACCAGAATCTAAGGCCATAGCTCCACTTGCTCAGCCGACCGGGCTGCCCGTCCAGCGCAGCCTACACCGACTGCTGCGCACCCTGGTATCTTACCCCACATATATCCCCACCAGGAAGTGGACTTGCAAAGTTGATGGAAAGTTACTTACCAAAAACGACCAAAAGACCACCATAGCCCATTCCTCTAGCTCTACTATGATCTCTTCGGAGAATGACCCACTGCCCTCCCACTCACAGGCATGGCCCAGAAATCTCTCCTACTTTTGGGTACATCAGTAAACAAGGGAACCCGCGTAACCCCCAAGTTGCCTCTAGATCTCCTGATATGAAGATCCCCTGAAGTCTTGAAAAGTAACCAACCCACCCTCTTCTTTTCTGGAAAGAAAGGGAAGGGGGGAACCTTTCCCCAAGTTGCCAGGGCTGTGGGTAAATTCTCTGCCACCCTTGTTCCTATAATTTAAACAAAACACAAACCATCCCGATTTTTCTTTCCCAAGTCCAAGGGATACTTGTAGACTAAATAACAAATACATAAACAACCACCAAAAATAAGACATATTGCAGTAATGAAGGGGCTATGTAAATGTTTCTCCATGAAATATCAAAAAATGTTTATTTTGATACATTCAACCATAATCTCAGTAACTTGAATAGTAAATATGAATTTAACCAGAAAAAGTAATACAATGATACTAAGGGAGGAATAAGATGGGGGGTATAAGATAAAACCTTCATCTTTCTTAGAACATAATATACAACCCATTTTTAAAAGAAAGATCAAGGAAAAGCCACCTAAGCACACTTTTTAGAATTATGGAGTAACTACCTACAGAAATAACAAAAAGAGCTGAAAAGCAATTGTCTCTATGGAGTAGGAAATGAGGGATGGAGCAAGGAGCACTATTTGTTTATTTTTGCATTTGTTTATTGATTTACTGTTTTAAGCCACTATCTGACTTTTTAAAATATGAGTTTCTATTCATTTTGTAAAATGAAAATTAAATCTAAAAAGAAAGAAAACAACTAAGAGGGACTCAAAAAGATATTCAGGGAGATCACTAAGTATGGGAGGCTTGCAGTAGAGACTACAAACAAAAAGTTGATGAGGGAACCATTTAGGAGATAAAACTGATGAGAGTTGGAGATGAATCTGAAAGCAGACATGAGGGCATGTGGGTGTTGAGGTAACTCAGAGGTTCTGGCTAAATGATAAAAGTGTTATTCTTAAAGACACTAAATGCTAGAAGAGGGGCAAGCTGGGTCCAAGGAGCCAAGCGCTTGTTTTGGACATGTGTATTCAAAGTACCTCTGAGACATCCCAATAGAAATATCATCTCATCAGGGATCTCTTTGTATCTGGAACTCAGAAGAGAGGTTTGGGCATGATGTATATTTGGAAGCCATGGGCCTGTAGATGGTGACATAGATGAAACTGATTAGTACAGGAAAACACCAGGAGAGAACAGCGGCCAGGACCGACCCGTGAACACCCAGTTACTGACAGAAGAGAATGAGTATGTAGGAGAGTTAGAAAAGAGTTGGCCCCAGAGATGGAATGAAAACCCAAAGAGTATGGTCCACAGAGGGCAAGGGAATAGAATATTGAATAGAGAAGGGCGTGATTACTGGTGTATGAGAATATATTTCCCTTCATACAGTATATATTTTTGGGGTGATGGAAGGAGTCTGAAACCCATTATTTGGGGAGGAAATGGCCATTTTGGAATACAGCAACAGTTCTATGATTGGCACGCTTTAACGCTCCTAATCCTCACAACATCCCTTGCGAGGCACTCCCTAGCGTCATTCCCATTTCTCAAAGGAGTTTTTGAGGCATGTAGAAGTTAAACAATTTACACCATGTTACTCTTTTTCAAGGTCTGCCTAGAAATATCTTGAGGAAACCCTTTTTAAAAATGGGTAGTTTTAAAGGGATTCACCCTAAACAACAGAACTGAAGGGGTCTGGGTATCATTTTCCCCACTTATATTCAGAGATTGCCTCAAAAACGCAAGTTTATATTTTTACACTGAAAAGAATACATTATTAACTTTGAACATGGTAAATATTCATGTTTATATTAAATTAAGAAAATCCTACATCCCTAGGTTGTGGGTAGAATGAAAGATTAGTGTATTTACCCCACCTAATCTGTACTAAATTCTGGCAATTTGTTTTATCTTTAGAATCGGAATCTTCCCTTTTTGCTACTGCCTCAATTCTGCTTCTGATTTCCCTCTGTCTCCTAAAATTTTTTTGCCTGAAGTCCTTCCACTCATCCATCTGGTGTACCACTGACATATTTATCTTTCTAAGAAACTCTTTTAATTGCACCACCCTGCAGTTAAACAAGGACTCCCACTTACCTACATCTGTGTCGGAAGTCCATAGCTTAGCAAGCAAGAAGCCCCACAATCTCACCACCCTTGTCCCCAGCCTGGTAACCCCATGCAAAGCGTTGCCTCCAACCAAGTCTTTCTACTCCTTGTCCCTCCCTCTCTGGTGCTTGTTCATTCATGAAGGCCCTTCATTTGCAATTCTGTCTTACTTCCTCTGCCTACCCAGATTTCACCATCTTCTCAATCCTGTCCTTTTCATGAGTGTTTATTTTTTCCGCACAACGTTCTGGGCCATGTCATCTCTCTCCAGATGACTTTTATCTACTACAGACCTCATTTAGCAGTCATTGAGGACTAAGGCAACCTGGTTTGAATTTTCACTTTGTTTTCTTATGTGCATTTTGGATTTAAATGACTTACCTTCTCAGATTTTTAACTACTTAAGAGCTGGCCACAATCAAATACAAATAAAAGGCCATATTTTAAAGCCAAACCACTATGGTAGGTACAAAAATACAGCTATGAACAAGGCAGACACAGACCCTGTTCACATAATGCTTATAGTCTCCATCCTTTCCAGCACCAGTCTTTGGTGTGTTAATAGAGATAAAAGTCCTGCGAGCATATCATAAAATAGACTTTTATGTTATACAAAGTGCCCATGGAACATGAAAAAACAGTTTATCAAAATGAGTCTGTATTCCCAAGTTCACAGTCTAAGCAAAAAAATTCCCTCTTCCATGCCCAAATATTTGCTCCTGTCAGTAAAAATATCAGAGGCAAATTTGTATTGAATCCTGTTTCAGAAGACTACAGTGGTTTTATCACATGTTCAAATAAATTCTT